ACAGCAATTCACGCCTCTTCCTCTGAACCGGAAAAATCAAAGGGACCAGGAACATTGGTTTATTAACCAATTGATGGCAAAGGATCTCTCTAGAAAGGGCCAGAGGACCTAGGTTCCATCCGGCCGGCACCCAGGTCTGGGAATGTACTCATTCAGGCCACTTACATGCCTTAAACAATTCAGACGTGAAGATAATCTATCCTAATTCTTTTCTGCGTTATTGACACTATTGACTCCCCCCCACCCCACAGCACAATCTAATAAATCAACATGGGATTAAGCCAAGAAGAAAGAAGGTGATAAAATGCCATTTGGTCCCCTATAAATCATCTGCCGGAGCAGCACAAGGTAAGTAGCTGGAATGAGAATTGAACTTGTCTACGCAGCCATAATTGTTATGGCCTACCTAACGTTTCCCAAATTTATAACGTGGCGGCGCATGGGGGCGGTGCCCCCCTCCGAAGCCTCCGTGCCCGGAGGAGCCCATCTTCCTGGCGACTCTGTGCGGACTGAGCGCCCCTTTCTAATTAAAGACAGAAAGGGTTGATATGCAGGTTTCAGTTCAATTGCTTTCGATCTGAAGACGTCCGCAGTGAGCAATGGCTTCATTTACCAGGAATTACCCTTTGTACAAACCACTTCACTATTTAAAACAAACCCCATGGATCATGATTAAGTGGGAAAAATGACCAATCTTCAGATATTGACAGTGGCGTGGCCCACTTCACAGGTCCTTTGCTTCTCCCACCCGTTGAAGGTGGATTTTAAGCATTTGACTTGTTTTCAAATTCAGGCTGATAAAAAGGTTCTCTCGGTGAATAGGATCTGACAGACGAGAAGCTTTCTCCAAAGGGTGCTGGGAGATACTGACGGGGTTTAGGAGCAGGGAAAACTAAGTTAATATGCTACTTCTGTTCTTTCAGGGGGTTAGAAGTCAGTGTGAATCATAGCTCTGGGGGAACCTGACACGCTGTGCGTGTCAGAAAACAAACCACCTCTGCTCTGTCCGCAGCCTCGCCAGAACTTTCCATGTGATGGGTGCTCTTTGCTGTGCTCCATATGACTTAGAATGGGTATCGAGCATCTCGAGACTTGTGCATTGTGTGTGTGTGTGGGGGGGTTGTTCTCTGTTTTTCTCTCCGAGGAAAACAAAACATGTTCTTTTTTGACCTCGCTCATCCCAAAGCCCCCAATTTGGAATCTGTATTCAGACACTTCCCTCAAAGCAAGAATGCTTATATGGGTGTCCACTCGGGAAATCCTCTTTGGGGGATGTGTGACTTTGACGTCCCCCTGAGAGAACATGATTCACTGGGAAAGAAGGCCCTGGATTGAACCGGTGCAGTGTGCTGAGAATGGAGGCTGAAGCGAGGGCGGCCCTGGACCCCAGGACTGCAGCCAGCTGCTCCAAGGTTCACCTGTCCCTCCCATCTGGGGATGGTCTGCAACCCCAAGATACATGCTCCATGCTGGACACATACAGGCGTGTGTACTACACGTGTCTATATGCATGTGATGATGTCACTGGGTTTGGTATCTAGGTGCCACAATTTGGGACGATGCCACATTCTCTCACCTTGCAATTCCAACCCAGAGTAACATTTCCGATGTTCAAAGAAAGGAGAAAGAGGGGGAGACATGGAATGATAACTTGCAAAATAACTAAGGTAGAGTTACCTGGAAATAGGAATAAGTGAAATGGAGGAAGGCAAATAATTGAAATACCAAAGTTGCCTCCTCTTGGGCCTGAATAAATAAGTTCTTGGTGGAAACAGGATTATGTCGTTTTCACATGGTCATTCCGAGTGGACTCGGATGCCGAGGTATCCCGATTGATTTTCGTTTTCTATGAGTTGTCTGAGGAGCAAATCCAGGAAGGTGTAAGAAGAAAGGGTGGATGTCAGGGCTGAAGCAGAGAAAGCAAATGATGAAGTAATTTGCCTGAGCTGTTGGATGAGAATAACCACCATATGCAATTTCATTCCAGGAAATTATATTTCAGGGAAGACTTGGTGCCCCCCCCCCCATCCCCATCAGAGTTTGTGCACTCAAAAACCAGAATGATAAAGGCCAGTTAGGTCTTAATTATTCTCTTATGCAGTTGGTGATCTGAATGACAAAGGCTCCTAAAATATGTTTCTTTCTAAATAATAATAATAAAAGGTTTCCAAAGAAGATGGCATTTATCATAGAGGCTGCCTGAGTCATCCACTGGATTAGCTTCCTCGGAGAGTACAGAGGAACCCTCTGATCATCAAAATTAAATAGAGCTACAATGATCGTTCCGGATGAGCAGCAGATAGAAAATATAGTGGCCACGTCTAGGGGAACGGTGTGCAGGTGGTATCAGTCAGTGGTTTGTGGCGTTTGGAGTGCACTGTTTCACACCCTTCCTCAACCAATGGTCTGGAGTGCTAAATAAAAGCAATGCCATGAGACTTCTGTACGAACTATTATGACAGCGATGGCTCAGAGAGATGACCTGAAGGTATAGCTCTCTCCATCCTGACAGGAAGCCTTCAGGAAGGGTCCCTGGGAGGTGCAGCTAGAAAACCTGATTCCCACTAAGACAGGCACAAATAAATGTCTGCTTGTCCTATACTCTAGGCATTTAGAGAAACTCAGTAAAAAAAACACACAGGCACCCCCCACACACACACACACACACATACACTGCATTCTGACATGTGTCATAGCATCAGCTTATCCACAGTTCCACTCAGAGCATTACATCTGCTTCAAGAGGGGGGTGCCTTCCACAGCGTGAAAACCACCTCCCTCTCTTCATACGGGACCACTACGCTGATTTAGTCACTTCTAAGTGTTTGTTATGGCTGCCTTCGCTCCCTCGGATCTCCCCTTTCCAGAGCAGGAGCGTTTTTTTGCTTCTGGGAGAGCCTGCCAGGCAGATGCTGAGAACCGCGGCATTTATCCTATATACTTGTCCTTTCTGTGGCAAGAATAACCTCCCACTCAAAGTCCACTGCATTCTTTTCTAAGTTGTGCCTAAATGGGCAAACCAATGTGACGATCTCGAAGGAAGAAACATCATTTGAAAATCATAACGCATAAATCAACTGTGAGAAGACTGAATACCTATAGCTCTACTTGCTAGGCGATGCTGTTCAAATGGATTAATAAATAACATGAAAGAAATGAATGAAAAAGAAGCCAAAGATCAACTCATATCAATAATTAGATTAAATTCAATTGAGGATTAGCAGCTGTAGAAATGCTTATTAGGATACTTTTCTGGTGGGGAACTGGTCTAACACTATACACACACTACACACACACACACACACACACACACACACACACACACACTCTCTCGCAGCAAAGGCACAAAAAGGCAGACGAGTCCTATGACATGTTACCAATAGGCTTTGGGGAAATGTTTCCTGGCACAGTGAACTTCATGAGAAATGGAATAAAATAACATTTAAAAGGATAAACCAATTTGTTGCCAAGATATTAAAACAACACACACACAAAGGCTGTTCTCAAAAAAGACTTGCAAAAGAAACATACAGCTAAAAAAACATACATTTTCTGGAGGCAACCAACTTGATCCCCAATTCCCCAAATGTTTCAAACAGACTTTCGGCGTTTTATGAATACATGTATTCCTACCACACAGATTGACTTGGAGGTTCTTTGGAGAAGGAGTCCTCCCCCACGCACACACACACGCACCCCCCGAGTACTTGTAAAGGAAGTTTAGTGAACCACAAGGACACACAGGTAACAAATGGTACTCTTGAAGGTACTCCATTGAAAACCAGATAAAACCACTACAATCACTGTTAACTCCTCATACAGCAGGACCAGGATCCCAGGGCTGGAGAATGACAAAATCCTTCTAACCCTGCCAGTCACATCCAAAAGCTCTGGCCCAGTGAGGAGAAGCCACATGTCACCTCTCAAGGCAATCCTGAGCTGCTCCCCAAACCCAGGAACCAACTTAGGCGGCAGCTCTCCTGGTAAATCAGGAAAGGAAGACAGGCGACGGTGGGAGGGAAACACCCAGGGAAAGACAGAAGCACAATGAAAGACGCTGAAATGTACACAGAATGGAAAATAGACACAGACTCCCTCGGCAAGACCATTAAGGCAGAGTGGTGGAGGCAGAAAAAGCCTTTACACAAAGCACCAAAGACAGCATCCTAAACAGCTCTTCATCACAGCACTGCCTGAGAATTTGGAGGCAGGTTCCGGGGCTGACATGCTCCAGAAACCCGAAGGCTCCCGTTCCAAAAGCGACTGAATATAGCACCACCCAGGCAAACTTGAGAAAACAAAAACACTGAGCATACACACACACAGACATATGCTTTTTTTTTTTGGACTCCCTATTAAAGCCGCTAAATTAAAACTCCAAGCACACGCATGCCTCCACACAGATCCAAACTCGGCATCAAAGGGTTTAGCCCCAGATCACCACGGGTCGGGCTCTGGCACCAGAAAGATGCAAGGAGCAGGCAGTTTGCAATTTTAAACTCCCGGTACCCAAGCTCGGCGGAAGCAGGCGTTGGAAGTAGTCACAGAGGTGCAAACACAGCTGGGCACACGGGGTATCAGGGATCCTCGGAGAACCAGGGGCTGCGATGCACCCCCTCCCATCCAAACGTAAGAGCCCCCTCCCGGACCCCCTCCAAGATACCAGAGCGATGCGGGGATCAAGTCCACGGGGAAGCCGCGTGCCTTACCTGCTGTAAGTACATAAAAGTCAAGGCACACGAGAGCTGGGGACACATGCCCACGTTGGGGAGCGCCACGCAGGTGGCCCCCGTCAGAGGATGCTGCATTTTGTCTCTCTGGCGCCCGCCGAGCACGAGTGGGGACGCTCGCATGCAATCACGCCGATCTTTGCCTGGTCGCTACAATTTTTTTTTTCCCTTTTTAATTTTGCTGATTATCTAAGTCAAACCCCGGTGGCTGTCTCTCTTCTCTCTCTCTCTCTTTCTCTCTCTCCCTCCCCCCTTTGGGTTTGCTAGATCCCAGCGTTCTTCTGCCTCCAACAACTAAGACACTTGAGAGGAGCAGGAAACTATTTTGTTTCCTTCATGGCTGCATTGGGGTGTGCGTGTGTGTGTGTGTGTGTGTGTGTGTGTGTGTTGGGCCTGCTTTCTTCTGCCTCTCAAAGTGGCAGGTGCCCCCGCCCCCCGCGAAGATGACAAGACCAAGCGAAAGCAACTTCAGTGAAAGGTAGAGGGGGTGGCTGCCCTCCTGGAGATGCTGAGTGGGGCTGGGGTGGGGGTAGAGCTAAGGGCAGGGGGTGGAG